AACGCCTCATAAGAGACTGTGGGGGGTCAACGCCTCATAAGAGACTGGGGGGGTCAGCTGTCAGTTTAGCAGCAGAGCTCTGGATGAGAGGAGGTTCTTTTCATATGTGCAGGTGAACTTGCGGCGCTATTGTTGGTAGTTTTTACGGTGTCGGGTGTTCAGTTTGCAATAAACGGTGTATTCTGCTGTGTACAGTTACATTTTTTAATTACAAATTGTGTTTGTTTCTATTTTTGTGTGATGTTTTAAAAAGAACAAAATAATTTTACAAGTGTAAAGAAAATCTTAGTGTTTTTATTTTTTCTTCTGGCCGTAAGATATTTGATGCAGGTTTTATTCTTGAAATAAATTAATCTGTTAGTGGATTTTAACTTTTCATTGCTGCCTCAAACTGTTTCATGAACGATGACGAGTTTCTGCAGAACTGACGCGTCGAAACAGGAAGTGTGTTCTGTTTTAAGAACGCTGCAAACAGGAAATGGAGATCGAGTCACAAGTAACATTTAAAATAATATACTTTATTTATAAAGCCCTAAAAACAACCACAGCTGCAACAAAGTGCTGTACACATGAAATCAAGAACATTTAAACACATAAACAAATAAAACGGTATGATCAAGTAAAACTTATCGCAGAGCAAAATTTCAGGTTGTTGCAAACGTCACGAAAAAAATGTTTTGAGTTTTAAAAATGGATGATTAATACGGTAAAAAACATTACTGGTGTAATTTAAGGTTTATTGTTAGAAAAACATTTACATACTGATTTTCAGAATAATATATCATAAAACAAAACGTGTCAAAAAAACAAATTTACAAAAAGTTGTGCACGAGAAAGTTTAAAAGAAAAAGCAGTTTATAACTTAAATGGCGAGAAACTAGTTTTGATCTTAAATGAAGTTCGAGGCGTTTCAAGCCACGACCTTTTGTTTTCTACACCTGAACACTTCGAACATTAAAGACGTATCCGTCTATAACTTGTAGCCCAGTCCACTTCTGCGTATGTGACAGAAGAGCGTCATGGCGAAACACATCCCCAGCACCTGCAAGCCATAAAGAAAAGTATTACATCCTGATGCTGCTCAGTAATCCAGGTAGAAAAATCTACAAAAGTTGAGACGGGTCCTCTGGAGCCTCCAGGTTCAACTGTCCCCCTCTTACAATGCTGTGATTGCTAGTACCACTCAGCCCTCTGTGAATAGTAAACAGCCATCAGGTGCTAATGATCCATTGTTAGGCTGATGGTCCTTCTTGAGCATGTGAGCAGCTGGTTCTGGTTGTCAGCAGCAAAACTGGTTGATCCACCCTGAGAAGGTGCTATTTAAGAGACTGAGCTGAATACAGCTCCTCAGACTGAACAAGTCCTCAGGATGAAAGATGAAACGTTTCTACGATTTTATTTATTGTTGTTGTTTTTTGAATGTCCAGAGGACCTGACAACTTTTTTACAATATACAGTACACACATCTTTGATTTGTGTACTGTATATTGTTCTGTTGTTCAGTTTTATGCTGTTAATACAGTAAAAAAAAAAACTTCCTGTTTGGCTCAATGTAATTCCATTTTTTTCAAATGTAATTCTGTTTTTTCAAATGTAATTCTGTTTTATCTAATGTGATTCCGGCCACTTCTGCTTAATGCAATTCTGTTTTTTCAAATGTTCATTTACACCTTAGGGCCACCGTACTTTGAGGTGCTATACAAGTACAGTCTCATACTTGGCTCATCCATTAACATCTTTGCTGTTGTGGAAAACTTTCTGGGAAAATCTAAAAAAGTTAAGTCTGGTTCTCTGGACATTCAAAAAAACAAACGAAAACAAAAAAGTAGAAACGTTTCGTCTCTAATCCGAGAGACTTCCTCAGTCTGAGGTGCTGTATTCAGCTCAGTCTCTTAAATAGCACCTTCTCAGAGTGGATCAACCAGTTTGCAAAATGGTTGATCCACTAAAACTAAACTAATCTAAAAAAATCGTCAACACGAAAGAGGAAAAGAGGGGGGCAGGTGTCACTCTTGCTTGGAGTTTATACTCTTTGTTGCATGAGTTCTGTGGGTGACAAGTGTTCAGAGCATCATAAACAGCAGCTGAGGTGTCCGAGTTATTTATTTATCGTCGCAGCAGCAGAGGGGAGTGACACCGTTCAGGCATGGCTCCCCAAACAACAGTCGCCACTCTGTAAGGGGCTGAGGTGTTTTTTTTTTTGTTTGTTTTTTTTTTAAATGTGGAGGCGGAAATCCTTAACTTGAAGGGTCAGATGATCGATCGTATGTGATATAAAGAAGTCGTGTTGTTGTCTGTTGTGTGCAAAATGAATGTTAATGCAATAATTTTCAGTTTACATATCCAGTTTAAGTTTTATTCATTCAAAGCAGTCATATTTGACCATAACTTTATTATTAGTAAGCCTGACAGTTGCCGAATCCAAGCAAACAGTTGCTGCAACGCACCCTGTCAAAACAAGAGTTCCCAGATCTTTTTTTGACAGGATTCGTCTCAAATTAAGCCCCGACTAGATCCCATCCCAACCAGGCTGTTAAAAGAGGCATTTCCCTTAATTAATAACCATGTCTTGGATCTGCTTAATCTATCTCTGGAAAATGGTTACACACCACAGAGCTTTAAGGTTGCTGTAATTAAACCTTTACTTAAAAAGTCTGATCTTGATTCAGAAATTCTGGCCAACTTTAGACCTATATCTAATCTAACTTTCATCTAGAAAATTCTAGAGAAAATAGTTGCAGGTCAGTTGCTTGAACATCTACAAAGAAATAATCTGTTTGAAGAGTTTCAGTCAGGGTTTAGAGCTCATCATAGCACAGAAACAGCACTAGTAAAAGTCACTAATAATATTCTCATGGCCTCAGACAATGGACTTGTGTCTCTACTGGTCCTGTTAGACCTCAGTGCTGCATTTGATACAGTTGATCACAATATTTTACTACAGAGGCTTGAATATGATATTGGAATTACAGGAACAGCTCTAAAATGGTTTAAATCATATCTATCTGATAGATTCCAGTTTGTAAATGTAAATAACAAATCTTCATACACCAAAGTTAGTCATGGAGTTCCTCAGGGCTCAGTGCTTGGGCCAATACTCTTTACTTTATATATGCTTCCATTAGCTAAAGTTATTAAACAGCATGGGATAAATTTTCATTGTTATGCTGATGACACACAATTATATTTGTCCATTAAACCCAATGAATCCAATCAGCTGCTTAGACTACAAGCATGTCTTAAAGACATAAAAACCTGGATGACCCTTAATTTTCTCCTGTTGAACAGACAAGACTGAGGTTTTGGTTTTTGGACCTGAGCACCTTAGGAATGAATGTTTCAGTCTTTCTCCCTCCTTAGATGACATTAATCTGTCCTCCAGCTCTAATGTTAAAAACCTTGGTGTTATTTTTGATCAGGACATGTCTTTTATCCCCCACATTAAAAACGTTACTAGAACCTCCTTCTTCCACCTGCGTAATATCACTAACATTAGAAACATCTGATCTAAATATGATGCAGAAAAACTGGTCCATGAATTTGTCACGTCTAGACTGGACTATTGCAATGGTTTATTATTTGGATGTCCAAATACTTCTTTAAAACATCTTCAGTTGATCCAAAATGCTGCTGCCAGAGTCTTAACTGGAGTTAGTAGGAGAGATCGTTTCTCTCCAGTTTTAGTTTCTCTCCATTGGCTCCCTGTCAAGTCCAGAATAGAATTCAAAATCTTACTTCTAACCTACAAATCTCTCAACAACCTGGCTCCATCTTATATTACAGATCTTATTGTTCCATATTTTCCTAACAGAGCATTTCGCTCTCAGGCTGCAGGTTTACTTGTGGTTCCTAGAATTTACAAAAACAGAATGGGAGGCAGAGCTTTCAGTTCTCAGGCTCCTCTCTTATGGAACCAACTTCCAATCTCTGTCCGTGAGGCTGACACATTATCCAGTTTTAAAACTAGGCTTAAGACTTTCCTTTTTGATAAATTCTCATTCAGCCTTTACTTATACAGGTTAGTCCCACTGAGCCTTGGGGACTTATTTACAAGAGAGACCTGAAATCCTATAGTTAGGTTCAGCTTTTCATGCTGTTTTAAGTTTACACTACTAGAGGACAAATTGACCTCATTTCTTTAAATGAATTATTAAAATTGAATAGTTTTCATTTGATACTATTTCTATCTTAACATACAGGTCCTTCTCAAAAAATTAGCATATTGTGATGAAGGTCATTATTTTCCATAATGTAATGATAAAAATGAAACTTTCATATATTTCAGATTCATTGCACACCAACTGAAATATTTCAGGTCTTTAATTGTTTTAATATTGATGATTATGGCATACAGCTCATGAAAACCCAAAATGCCTGTCCCAAAAAATTAGCATATTTCATCCCACCAATGAAAGACAAGTGTTTTTAATACAAAAAACACCAACCTTCAAATAATCATGTTCAGTTATGCACTCAATACTTGGTCGGGAATCCTTTTGCATGAATGACTGCTTCAATGCGGCGTGGCATGGAGGCAATCAGCCTGTGGCACTGCTGAGGTGTTATGGAGGCCCAGGATGCTTCGATAGTGGCCTTAAGCTCATCCAGAGTGTTGGGTCTTGCGTCTCTCAACTTTCTCTTCACAATATCCCACAGGTTCTCTATGGGGTTCAGGTCAGGAGAGTTGGCAGGCCAATTGAGCACAGTAATACCATGGTCAGTAAACTATTCACCAGTGGTTTTGGCACTGTGAGCAGGTGCCAGGTCGTGCTGAAAAATGAAATCTTCATCTCCATAAAGCTTTTCAGCAGATGGAAGCATGAAGTGCTCCAAAATCTCCTGATAGCTAGCTGCATTGACCCTGCGCTTGATAAAACACAGAGGACCAACACCAGCAGCTGACATGGCACCCCAGTGACTGTGGAAACTTGACACTGGACCTCAAGCAATGTGAATTCTGTGTCTCCTCTCTTCCTCCAGACTCTGAGACCTTGATTTCCAAAGGAAATGCAACATTTACTGTAATCAGAGAACATAACTTTGGACCACTCAGCAGCAGTCCCAGGCGAGATGCTTCTGACGCAGTCTCTTGTTCAAGAGTGGCTTGACCTGGGGAATGCGGCACCTGTAGCCCATTTCCTGCACACGCCTGTGCACGGTGGCTCTGGATGTTTCTACTCCAGACTCAGTCCACTGCTTCCGCAGGTCTCCCAAGGTCTGGAATCGGCCCTTCTCCACAATCCTCCTCAGGGTCCGGTCACCTCTTCTCGTTGTGCAGCGTTTTCTGCCACACTTTTCCCTTCCCACAGACTTCCCACTGAGGTGCCTTGATACAGCACTCTGGGAACAGCCTATTCGTTCAGCAATTTCTTTCTGTGTCTTACCCTCTTGCTTGAGGGTGTCAATGATGGCCTTCTGGACAGCAGTCAGGTCGGCAGTCTTACCCATGATTGCGGTTTTGAGTAATGAACAAGGCTGGGAGTTTTTAAAAGCCTCAGGAATCTTTTGCAGGTGTTTAGAGTTACATTGTTGATTCAGATGGTTAGGTTAATAGCTTGTTTAGAGAACCTTTTCATGATATGCTAATTTTTTGGGACAGGCATTTTGGGTTTTCATGAGCTGTGTGCCATAATCATCAGTATTAAAACAATTAAAGACCTGAAATATTTCAGTTGGTGTGCAATGAATCTGAAATATATGAAAGTTTCATTTGTATCATTACATTATGGAAAATAATTACCTTTATCACAATATGATAATTTTTTGAGAAGGACCTGTATGATTCTTGACCTGCCATTGTGTATCTGTTCCTCAAACCCAGCCGGTCGAAGCAGATGGCCTCTTGTCCTGAACCTGGTTCTGCTAAAGGTTTCTTCCTCATCAGGGAGTTTTTTATTTCCACTGTCGCCTTCATGCTTGTTCAAGATGAGAGTCTGTGATGGAGTTAAACTCGAAGCTGCTCCTCAGATAAATAATGTTAAATTATTATTTTTATATATGAATGTTTCTGTTCAGTGCCCTGAGACGACTTCTGTTGTGACCTGGCACTTTATAAATGAATTGAATTGATGTTAATGAATGTTGCTGAAGAGCAGGAGAACGACTCAAACAGGCTGGATGCTGGTCCTCGAGGACCAGGATTCGACATCACTCATTTATTGTTTTGCCTTATCTGTGTGCTTTGAGCATGAACTGTGTTTGTGTTTCGACAGTTTTGCCCCATGCAACGTTTTACGTCCTCCACCTTTAACGTACCTCGATTATACAGACGACTATGACAGAAATGCCAGTCATCAGGAAATTATTCTCAAACCACATGTTGAGCTTGGCCAAACAACCCTGAAAAGACAACATAAAATTCAAGTTATCTGCAAACAAGCAACTAATGCAACAATAAACGTATAGTACAGTGTAGATAACTGTACCTGGGTTTTGTACGGAGGCGTGGGGATTTCACATGCGTGCATGCAGCAGGATTGAGGCACATTTTCTCCCCAGTCAGTGGCATTGTGGACTCCACAGCAATCAAACTGAGGGACCCATAAAGAGAGACCTCTTGATTGTCTGCAGAATGTGAACTGGCATCACGAGTCTACTCTGACAGCTCCTACCGTGTTCTGAACAAAGTCCCAAACACTCTGAAGGGTTGAGTTTCTCTCCTGGTCTTGTGCTTTCTTCAAACTGCTGTTGAGATCCTTTTGTATCAGTTTGTTGAGCTGAACAGTGTGGTGAAATGAACAGACCAGGCTTAGTGCACCGATTTGTCAAACCTCAACAAATGTGATGCGACGTAGACCTACCTCACTCTCATACATGAGCATCAGGCACGCTGCAGTCAGCTCCACCAGCATCAGGAAGAAGAGCAGCAGGAAGAACTGAGAATGCAGTTTGAGCCAGTGTTACTTTACTGTTAGCATACACATCCAAAGTAGAATGACACATGGGAAACACAAAACCTTCGATGATGCAAATCTTGTTCAACTAGATGTACTGTCCTCAATCAGAAAAGGGTGGATTGTTCTCTTCAGATCAAGGGAGAGGTTCTGCCTTAAGTGGAGGAGTTCAAGTATCTCTGGGTTTTGTTCACGAGTGAGGGAAGAATGGAGCGTGAGATTGACAGATGAATTAGTGCAACGTCTGCAGTATTGTAGACTCTGTACCGGTCCATTGTGGTGAAGAGGGAGCTGAGCTGTAAGGCAAAGCTCTCTGTTTACTGGTCAGTCTACGTCCCTCACCTCTGGTCATGAGCTCTGGGTAGTGACAGAAAGAATGAGATTGTGGATCCAGGAGGTTGAAATGAGTTTCCTCTGCAGGGTAGCTGGACTCTCCCTTAGAGACAGAGTGAGAAGTTCAGTTATCAGGAGAGTAGAACCCACATCCTCCTCCACAGCCTCCAACTGGCTCCTCCACATTGAGAGGAGCCAGTTGAGGTGCTTCGGGCATGTCCAACTGGAAGGAGACCCCAGGAAGACCAGGGCCATCTGGGAACGCCTTGGGGTCCTCCTGGAAGAGGTGGCTGAAAAGAAATGTCTGGACCTCCCTGCTCAAGATGCTGCCCCCGAGACCTGACTTCAGAACAAGATGAAGATGAAAAGGATGGATGGGTGGGTGGGTGGATGGATGTACAGGGAGTCAACTGAGTTAAACTCAGCCTCGTTAGCTGGATGAAACTTAAAGAAAATCACACAACAGAAACACTTTCAGAAGGATCGGTCATAGATTTGGATGAGACATGATGAGGTGGTAACCCTCCAACCAAACCCCGTGAAGCAATTTTTTTCATGTTGCCATGTCGTCACATGTTCCTAGACCAGGGATATCCAGACCAGTCCTGGACCTCAAGGGACTCTATTCTGCATGTTATATAAAGGTTTCTCTGCTCCAACACGCCTCATGTGAGTAACAAGTAAAACTTGCAGGATAGTGGCTCTTGCAGCATCCTGGGCTTGTGTGTGTGTGTGTGTGTGTGTGTGTGTGTGTGTGTGGTGTGTGTGTGTGGGGTGTGTGTGTGGGGTGTGCTCGTGTGTGTTACCGTCAGCAGGAGACAGCGGTTTTCTTTCAGAGCTCCCAGAAATCCCAGGAAGGAAACGCAGGTGATGACGATGCCGCTGATCAGCAGCATGTTGGATATGTTGACGTTGGCCAGGGAGGGTGTAAGAGCGGTCATGTTCACCGCCATGTATGCTCCGAAGCTCAGAACCACCACACCACACACCTAACAGGAGACAGGGTTACACTGAGCGGTACCACAGGACCAAACACTGCACCACTGTCAGGAACATGTTTTATCCTCCAGATGTCCTTGGGTCAAAATGGTCTACAATGTTGTTTTCAAACAAGACCGCACGATGGATCAGTGGGTAGTACTGTTGCCTCACAGCAAGAAGGTCCTGGATTCAAGGACCTGCTTGGACCTCGGGTCTTTCTGGGTGGAGTTTGCATGTTCTCATCGTGCTTGTGTGGGTTTTCTCCGGTTTAATCCCTCAGCCCTAAACGAGCACGTTGGGCTCAGAGCCAGGCCTCGCTTGAAAAGAGATCTGCGATCTCAACGGGATAAAGTGAATAAAGAAATGAATAAAAACTGAGGGTTCGTGGACCATTTTAATCCAAACACAGCAGAGAGGTAAAATGATATCTTTCTGATTGAATTCTTTATTATTATTAATGAACTTATTGGCGGGCTGGACTTCAGTCTCCCGCAGGCCGGACGTGGACCTGCTTTAGGGCGTATCGACCCACAGAAGTCCCAGCTGTGCTCAGACTAGCTGTTGGCTCATCAGTCCACTTAAAAATAAACTAAGATTGTTCAAAGAGCTACAACCAGGATTATCAGAATTATTGAGAACTGTAAAGAAAATGAGAAAAATACAAATTTACATCCACAACATTACTATTTAAACAAACTGGTAATTTAAATCTTTACCACATTCAGCTAAATTTAATCCTTTAAAATGGGAAAATGCCTTTAAAAAAACATCTATTGGGTCTAAAGTATCAGAATTGCTTCATTACACCAGAAAACAGGTCAACAGCTTCCTGGTAATTTACACAGGTCGAGATCTGAAAGTTATACAAAAGTATGAAAGAAAATATCAACAGATGAATTTTTTTTTTAAACTTCAAAAACAATTTGAAAATAACATATTTATACAGTATAGATAGAAATAGATGTATAGATAGACAGTGACATATAGACAGACATACTGTGTGTGTGTATAGAATGTCGTGAAAAAGTTTATTTCAGTAATTCCATTTAAAAAATGAAACTTGTATATTCTATTAATTCATTACACACAGACTGAAATATTTCAAATGTTTATTTATTTTAATGTTGATGATTATAACTGACAACTAATGAAAACCCCAAATTCATTATCTCAGAAAATTAGAATATTGTGAAAAGGTTCAATATTGAAGACACCTGGTGCCACACTCTAATTAACTCAAAACACCTGCAAAGGCCTTTAAATGGTCTCAGTCTAGTTCTGTAGCTACACAATCATGGAGAAGACTGCTGACTGGACAGTTGTCCAAAATATGACCATCGACCCTTGCACAAGGAGGGCACGACACAAAAAGTCATTGGTAAAGAGGCTGGCTGTTCATAGAGCTCTGTGTTCAAGCACATTAATAGAGAGGTGAATGGAAGGAAAAGATGTGGTAGAAAAATGTTTAGTAGCAATAAGGATAACTGCACCCTGGAGAGGATTGTGAAACAAAACCCATTCCATAATGTGGGGGAGATTCACAAAGAGTGAACTGCAGCTGGAGTCAGTGCTTCAAGAACCACCACGCTCAGACGTATGCAAGACAAGTGGTTCAGCTGTCACATCCCTTGTGTCAAGCCACTCTTGAACAAGAGACAGCGTCAGAAGCGTCTCGTCCTGGGACTGCTGCTGAGTGGTCCAAAGTTATGTTCTCTGGTGAAAATACATTTTGAATTTCCTTTGGAAATCAAGGTCCCAGAGTCTGGAGGAAGAATCCACAATGCTTGAGGTCCAGTGTCGTTTCCATAGTCTGTGATGGTTTGGGCCCATGTCATCTGCTGGTGTTGGTCCACTGTGTTTTCTGAGGTTCAAGGTCAACGCAGCTGTCTACCAGGAAGTTTTAGAGACTTCATGCTTCCTGCTGCTGACTGACTTTATGGAGATGCAGATTTAATTTTCTAACAGGACTTGGCACCTGCACACAGTACCAAAGCTACCAGTACCTGGTTTAAGGACCATGGTATCCTTGTTCTTAACTGGCCAACAAACTCGTCTGACCTTAACCCCATAGAAAATCTATGGAGTATTGTGAAGAGGAAGATGTGATGCACCAGAGCCAACAATTCAGAAGAGCTGAAGGCCACGATCAGAGCAACCTGGGCTCTCAACACCTGAGCAGTGACACAGACTGATCCACTCCATGCCACAACGCATTGATGCAGTAATCCAGATACAAGGAGCAACAACTTATTGAGTGATGTACATGCTCATACTTTTCATGTTCATACTTTTCATGTTCATACTTTTCAGTTGACAAACATTTCTAAAAATCCTTTTTTTAATTGTTCTTAAGTAATGTTCTAATTTTCTGAGATACAGAATTTGGGGTTTTCATTAGTTGTCCGTTATAATCATCAACATTAAAATAAATAAACATTTGAAATA